AATATTATTTCAAAAGGTTTAAAATTTAGTAAGATATGGTGTCTGGGGGGTCCAGAGTTGGTATAAGCTGTGGAACAAGCCCCCCCATTCTCCCACCACCATAATTGCGCCCTGAGCACATAGAGGACATTGATTTGAATGCAGTGGATGGTGACAGAGTCAGACTGTGCCTCAAGCAATGAGGGGCATTTAGGAGCTTCAGTCTCAGAGCTGGAACACACCCAGGCCTGGACGAGGGACTTAACTTTACCCGATTTCCCCAATAGACAACAGGTGGACAGTGTGGATCATCATAATAATTACTGTCGGATGGAGCCTAGCTTGCAATTACATTAAAGGATAGTTTAACCGTTTTCATCACTGTATCAGATTTAGCTTGCTGCTATAGTTCCCCCTCAACATGCTGCCCTCCTGTAAAATGTTTTGTTTATTTCAAATGAAGCACGGCAGATACAGAGGCAGCTGTAACAGCTGATGTGGCTCTAAGACGCTAGCATCAGAAAAAGATAGGAGGTGGGTTACAGACGTCTGATTCTTCAGATCCAACCAGTTTATCGTGATGCTTCATCTGGAGCCACGAAAGGTTTAACACTCTTGTTTGTGTTTGTGTAATATAATTGAAGAGATTATTTTGCAATATTTCCTTTTCGAGTGATGTGGAAAAAATCGACATCTCTAGTTCCAAACGAAAATGCATGCCAGAGTTTACCTTAAGTTAATATGATTCAGCAGTTTGTAGTATATGGTCAGAATTTATATCGTACTTCTCTATAGTCTTGATGATTACTTTTATTCTGTGTCTGAATTTGTTTTTTTATGCCACATATCATCCATGTTGAGGCTTTTCTTCCTATTTAAAGTTACTGATCCTTCTGTTTGTGTCTGCAGGTGAGCTCCCTGGGGAAGGAAGTAGCTGACTTAGGTCAAGTCATGAAGAGGATGGCTCAGCTCATGGAAACCCTCATGTCATCCATGCCACCACCTTCAGTCGACTGCCTGACGCACTGCGCATACCTGCCCCATCCTCACCATCCTCACCCTTCTCCCTCTCAGACTGCGACCATGTGGACAAACACGCCCCTGTCCCTGCCTTCCTCTCCACTCACAATCCCCCACCAACACAGTGCGATGTGCCACATGGACTCCCTCGCGCACAGACCCCAGGATCTCCAGCTTGGGTACTCGGCCATCCCCAGCTCAACTCCGCCTCCGACCCCCATCTCGTCGATCCTTCAGTTGCAGCCTCACTTGCCTTCCTCCTCCCTCAGCTCGCCGGAGATTTCTAACCTCAGAGACGGAGATTGCGGCTCCATCAGGTCAAGGGTGCACAGTGCTCTGCAGGACGGAGGAGATGAGGGCCCCCATCAGAGCGCTGGGTGTTCTCCCCAAACTGGACTAGAGGGGGGCTATCACAAGCCCACCAGGGGTTTGTAGCAGCCCTCTCTGGACTCTGCAGGAGACACTTTCTATGATAAGTTCCTGAACTGATCAACTGGGGTCCCTCTCACATCACTGCAGGACATTTGCAGGGATGCAACTAAGATTTCTTTTGTTTTAAAGGCACGTCTTAAAAAATCCAGTTGCATGAAAACAAGTACAGAAGGATTAGGTGTGTTAGCTTTACCGTTTATAGAAACGTAGTGTTGTTTGACGGGATATAGGGGTGTTGGTTCTGCTGCGGAGCTCAGCGTCTCTTGGTGCAGCTTACTTCCAACCCCTGCCCCCCCCCACACCTTGAGGCTCCTCAAGAGAGCAACATGCCATAATGTAGGAGTGGGGGGCACGCTGGAGAGAGCTCTTTCTGTCGTCTCATTTCTTACTCCCGGCCTGAGATGGTGTGAGGTCGACTGGGTTGGCCAGAGGAGGAGAAAGCATCGTGGATGATGGCGTTGGGCTTTGGAAACAAGGAGGGGATGGAGGCAGTTAACAGCCTCCCACCCCCTTATCCTTGCCATTTCATCTTCTTTTAACCCATCTCTCCTTGCTCACTCAACCTGATGCACTGGATTGCGTGGACCTATGCATGGCTGGTTACGACTGGTTGTACTGGCAGCACAGGATGGTGTGAGGAGAGAGATGGGACGTATTGTGCTCTTTACCGCTGGCCCTCAGGAAAGGGGGGGGGTGGAAGATGTTGGTTATGGAAGTGGTAGGGGCGGGGGGTGGGGTGGCGGCATGTTACGACCTCGGGCAGTGAAGCCCCTGCTGTCGTCTGTCACACCGAGCACGGGGACTGTTTCTCTTTTCCACTGTCTCTCTGTCCATACCTGCCTCTCTCTCTCTCTCTCTCTCTCTCTCTCTCTCTCTCTCTCTCTCCCTCTCCTTCCTTCTCCCTCCTTCTCTCTGCATGCCTTTCCGAGCCTTTTGAAGTAGTGCCTGTAGACACACATTAACATGCTGCATGTCACCCCTGTGGTAATCCAGCTTGCCATTTATCTTACCTATTTAGAGGAAAACACAGTTTGCCCTTTTAGCGACTGAATCCTGCATTTACTGATGCATATTTATTGGGAACGGGCTCGATTTAAACAACTGGGTAATTTCAGGAGCAGGGTAGTTACCCCATGTTGCGATGTGGCCTGGAGTAAACCGCCAATAACAAATTGGTTTCACGATTCACAACGCAGTCCCGTTTCCCCTGATCGTCACCCTGGGTTACCAGCTCCTGAGATCCATTTTCTCAGCTGTTCAGAGCAAAGGCAATATCCCCACATAAAAGCACAATAAGAAATGAAGATGCTTTTATATTTCTATGAATGTATCAATAGTAAAGATGTATTTTTTTACCTTAACAAATGCAAGAGTGCAGGGCGGCAGTAAATGATGCTGTTGTTCCTGAGGTTGTGGCAGTGGTGTTCGGCCGATGCAATCCTGGACCAGGACAAAGGTCATGACTCCCGGACAGACAGATCTACTGCTCTCTTTTGAATTCACGTAGGTTTGACTCTGCTTCTCTGCAAATGGAATGTACTGTAATCAAACTTCTTTCTCCCTCGACATTTTGATATTTATTAGATACAAAGATGACCTGTTATGCTAATAAACAACAAATAAGACTGTTACGTGCCGACTTTTTGTTTTTGTTCACAGACAGATTCATGCTGGAGAGGTTACTCAGGTATTGTATTTTGTTTGTCAGTGGATAGTTTAGCACAATGGCACACTTCCCTTTCTAAACCAAATATTTTGGTTTAGAAGGAAGTCAATTTCGATTGAATACCTATTTTCAAAGATCTAAATTTCATGGATATTGATGAAAAATATCAGGCACATTTAAGGGACAGATATATGAGTGTGTGCAGCTTGAGTGAATCTAAGGGGACTGTGGCAGGTCAGCTTTGTAGGTGTTTTTACATAAACAACAAAAATGACTATTTAATTTTTGACCTGAACGTTTTTCAAATTTTCCCAGACCTCCAAAGTAAATTACAATTTACCTGAGAGGGGCCTGACCATGTATGCAGTTTTTTTATGGAAAAGTGGTAAATCTGCAGACATTACCATCACTAGAGCTGTGTTGCATGGCCAAAAACTCATACTCATAATAACTTATATTTTGACAGAAAAACACAAACACCTTTCAACATCGACACTGGTGCAGGTTTAAGTACTGCTGGTTGTTTAGTTCATACGATCAAAAATAAATGCTGACAAAGAGAATGAATTCATCTCTAGTTGTTCCACAGGCATGCACATTGGGTATCGTTGTTGTCATGACAATGCATCAGGAGACAACTTCATATTCATGTGAAACCGATACGTCTAGTGACTAAGTTGTTCCTGAACTCAAATTTTCATACTCCACATTATTATTGTATATTCACATCCACCCCCCCTAAAAAACAAAAAGCATACACGTTTAATATCTGCAGATCTCAGTCATGCAAGAGCGTGGCTTGTACATACTTTGTTTATAATAGCAATGTGTATTTGTTGTGTGCACGCTCTCATGTGTGGGCGTGTGTCTTTTGTTTGGCTGCTGCTACGCTTCATCTGAGGTGAAAGTGCAGCTGTCGTCATGTCCCATTGGTGACGTGGCCGGGGGATGAAAACTGAGTAAGCATGCGGGGGATCACACCAACGCATCTGTCATAGAGGTCCAGGCAGCTGCTCTCACCTGTGTGAGCGTGTGTGTGTGTGTGTGTGTGTGTGTGTGTGTGTGTGTGGATGAGGGGAACACCGGATGTGACTAAGATGCATGGGGTTCAGCAGGGTCGAAGGTGACACAGTTGCAGAGTTTCTCTTGATCATGGTGTAGATGACAGTGCAACTGTGTCGATGTTTTTGAATGCATGCATGTGTGTAAATGCTTCCACAGGAGGCAGTGGTGTTCATGAATTTAGAAAACATAGTGAAAATATACCCAAATCTGACCATTTCTTGTGTATTTACTGAGATGACAGGTGGGTGGTGTGTGAGAATGATTTGTGTATTTAGCAGCACCTCCAGCACATCTGTGGAAATGCTGTTATTTAGCCCTGGGTCTGGAGGACCCCATCCATATTTAATGGTGTGCAGACAATTCCAGCCTGGCTGTTTATGCATCTTTTTATCCACCTGCTAGCAAACTCATCTTTTATTCACTTTCCCACTTTATCAGTCATTAGCAAACTGAGGCCCATCTGCCTCCCTCCTTTTAACCCGTGCTTTCTTCTTTTCCACTTAGGATATTTCGATTAAATTTTTGAGTCCGACTCAGGGGAGGGGGGAAGAGCAAATGAAAGGGGGAGAATCCCACAGAAATGCTAAAAGCAGCAGGGATGTGGACCGATTTGATACCTGGGCATTCGCTTTTATGATTAACATACTCATAAGTCTGCGTTTCATATTCCCTTGCTTGCTGTGGGTCTATACATGCGCCTAATTCACTCTATTCACATTGTTTGATGATGGCCCTGACCCAAATACAGCTAATATTCAACCCCCGTCCTGCACTCTTTTCATCCAAACACACACACACACACACACACACACTCACACACACATGCTCTCCCATTCAAATGAGCACTTTAGCCCCATGTGAAAGGAGCCTCTCCACTTGTCCTTCACCCCAGAACTTCTTTCTCAGGTAATGAAAATATGCCCATTTCTCTTTTTATCTCCTGTGGACATAATGGAGATATGGTGAAACCTGCTTGCTGTGGTGTGGTTCCTCCATTCAGCCCGTTTCTGAGCTCTGATAGGCTGCCCCCCCCCAATGAAAGAGGCCGAGCTGTGTGCTGAACCAAAGACACATTATGTTTGTGTTTGAATACGTGTTGGTGTCTGGTTATGTCTATGTCCGTGTGTGCCCAGTGTCTGTACCTATATTCACGTGTAAGAAGAACTAAAATATGGAAAAAGCCTCTCCACACTGAGGCTTAACATTAATCGGTTCCACTCTGGGGGAGACGGCGGTGGTTGTTGCAAATCTAAACAGTCGTATTTGCATTGCAGCGAGGGAGGGGAAGCTTGCAGGACATGTTGTGTGTTTGATAAATGAGTGTGGGCTTCTCCCCTGGGTGCTGTGGTACAAGTGGTGGTGGGAGGGGAAGCAGAACAATGCGCATGTCAGAAGTGGAGATTAATGGTGGCTTGGTGGAGGTGTAGGCTATGCTCATCAAGTGAGGATTCTGCGGCGGCTGATGAGTTACCTCTTTTGTTGCTCACCTGTCGGAGAGCAGCGTGGTGTTTCTGAGCATAGGAGGGTCGCCGCCATGTAGAGCTCGTGGTGAATAGCTGTCTCCCATTGTGTTGGTGTGAGGGGGGGGGGCCCTGTTCTGTGATCACCTGACAGCATTTAAAAACCTGTCAGACAGCTGGACATGACTTTCCATTCTGCAGATTTTTCTTTTCAACCATCTCATCAAGGACCATCTCATAACCTGAAAAGCGTTCAACTACCTGGTAAGACAGCGGCGGGGCTCTGTCGCAGCGTCTGTTTCCCTCCCATTTAGCCCCAATTAGTTTGTCTGAACGATCGCTTGACGAAGAAAGCTTAACTCTCAAATACGAGCCCCAGGTTACCAGCTCGCTTAATGGCTGCATGGTTTATACACACCCTTTAGACATATTATATATTTAGGAATAATTTAAACATATGTCATGTGAACATTTTTCCAGAGTGGTGAACAGAGGGCGAGACTGCATCATCTTAACTGTATTTACTCTCACCCAGAGGCCCAGCCAATATGGGCCCATTTTTACTGAAGGATTATCAGTTATTTTAATGCAACTTTTATTGGGATGAAGGTGTTGTGTTTTTAAATCCTCTTTTTTGTTTTGACTCTCTTAGACACAATAATGACCACATAAATCTTTCTGGTCTGTGTTAGTTCTGTTTGTTTTAAAATGACAAGCAAGTTTTCCCCCCCGTTTGTTTGATTGTAAATTTACGGATGAAGTATGGGTCAGAAAACACCCCTTTTAAATTGTGTTGTGGATCCAGGACATTTTTTTTTCGTAGTTCATAGTTGAGTAAAATCCAGGGTCTCGGAAATGGATCGAACAAAGCCATCGGAAAGAAACGCCACTGATATTTTTTAGAAAAAACAGAAAAACAAATTAAAGCATCCTTTCCATTGCTGTATGTAATAGGACGTTATCATGAATGTTACTGTTACAGTGGGTGGTTTCAAAGGTTTGTGGATGTAACCAGGTCACCACAACAAGCACTGGCCTGGTTTTATTAGCTGATGTAGAGGCCAAAGTTTAAAATGCAGGTCACATGATGCGTAAACACTTAACCTGCAGCTGCTGTGGTCACGACACTGCACACATCCAGCACAAAACAAATTCTTATCATTACTATCGTCCCGCAGTTCAACGTTACAGATGCAACATCCAAAGGTCCAGCACTCGTGAAGAGTCCTGGGCAGATTAAAATGATTCACATGTATCTAATTAACTTTTAAAAATTTGACTTTATTTACTCAGTTTAATTTTAGTTTTTAAATGTAAGGCAAGCATTTATAGCTAAGTCTCATTTACACCATTATAATCTTTATGTTGACATCAGATAAAGATTCTTCATCTATACCATCATACATTTCCTCAAGAGAAAATTCCTTAATGTGTTTTTTGACCTGAAAGAGCAGTTTTAAGCTACAGAATATAATGTG